TATGAAAATTAATAAAATATAATTATAGAAAAAAAAAGATACTTCCCGAAACCCTCATGACTCAGTTAATCTCCCTGCAGTCTCCTCCCGTGTGACTTACTGCGTCAGAAAACCCTCTGGAGGGTCTGCTCTGATCGCACGTACACTACACCACCACACTTGGCGTGACTGTCCTACTGTCAGTACCCAAGCCAACCACGCGCCTGTTCTCAGTCCCGGGCGGAGCGGACTTTGGAATACCAGGAACGTGAGTTCGAGTCCCGTCTCTGCCACTTGCTAGCCATGTTCCCTTAAGCAATTAATTTATTCTTCACCTCCCCCTCCCTACGCCAGGTTCACTTTTCTTACCTGTAAGATGAGAATGCATGAGTATCTTTAACGTATCTAGAAAAATGTCATCAATTTCACAAGACCCACGCCAAAAGGAAAACCGAGCCCCAAAAGTGACAGAATCTGTCCCTCTCTCGGAGACTCAATTTACTTATTTGTAAAGAAGAGCTGAGAGTGAGCTGCGCTGCTAATACAAAGGTAACCGGTTTGAATCTACCAGCGTCTTGGTGAGAAAAAGGCAGTCTCCTCTGATGTGATTTAAAGCCTTGGAAAACTCAGTAGGATTTTTACTCCATGGTGATGAGTTGAAAGAGGGGCTAACAATTATTAGGTTGTTTACAGCATTTGCACACGGCTTTGTAGTAAGCACTATAATGTACTCACTACTTCACTCTCAGCATCTTGTGAGGTAGCACTCACTGATCATCATTCATAATCAAGGAAACTGAGGCACAAAAACCAAACCACACTTAGGGGTTGTGTAGATCTGAAATGGAATTTTATTTGATATCCAAAATATCCTCCTCCTTTATGTTTCCCAATATGAGGGCACAGCTTCTGGTGCTATGTCTGCTTACATAATCTAAATGTATTCTATTGTACATACGGTTTTCAAAGGCCTATTATTTTGGAAATAGATGGTCAGTCTTTGTTTGTTGTTATGTGCCATTGAGGCAACTCCAACTCATAGCGACCCTATGTACAATTCTGAACTCTGCTCTATCTTGAGCCAATGTCCTTGTCTCTGGCACACCTTCCTCCATTATCCAGTCACTGAGTCAAATGATCTCATCCAGCGTCTTCCTCTCTTGCGCTGTCCTTCCACCCTTCCAAGAAAAATGCCCCTTTCCAGGGACTGATCCCTCCTTGCCACATGCCCAAGTTTGTCAGATGGAGCTTCAGAATTTTTACCTCCAAGGAGCAGCCTGATTTCACCCTCTCTAGGATGGACCTGTTTGTTCTCTTAGCGCTCCATGGTGTACTTTTCTAAGGCGCATCTTAGTCATTAGACTGACGTCATTGCTCTTCAGTACCCTGGAGAGGGCCCTGACAAGATATTTTCTTTCTTTTTTCTTCCTTATTATTATTATTAATTATAATGAAAGTTTACAGAGACTTTGGATTTCCATTCACTGATTGCTGCACTTTTCTCCCTGCCCACCCCTCCCCCCCCCCAGTTCCCTCTTCTCTTTGAAAAGTAGAAGAAAAATTCTTTCATTGTTATACAATCCCTCCTTTCAAGTCCACTCCACTATGCAGCCTTCGTTCTGCACTCCTGTCATGACGATAACACCCAATCATATATCCCTTTTAAACAGTTCTCTCTCTCCTTTGTTTCAATGCAGTATACATAATTTATCCCATCTTTCTCAATCTTCGCCCAAACCCGATGTCAGTCCCATTTTACAACAGTGGCACTATGCAGTATTTGATTTGTCCTTTTGTTACTGAGATATTTAACTCAGCATAATGTCCTCCCATGAGTTCTTTGTTTTTCAAAGTAGCATAGTATTCCATTGTGTGAATATGCCAGAGCTTTTCTATCCATTTGTTTGTTGATGGGCACTTAGGTTGTTTCGAACCCTTTGCTATTGTGAACAAAGCCATAACAAACAAGGGTGTGACAGCATATTTTCCCAGCGCAATTTCTCTTTTGATTTTCTGGCTGCTGCTGCCAAGAGTGTTGATGGTGGAGCCAAGCAAACTGAAGCTGTTAACAATCTCCATCTCTTTACCTAGTCTGTCTTAATTTGGATGCTTAGCTGTAAAATAATATTTGACAAACAAACATTGTACCCAAAAGAGCATATAAAAGATCATTCCTGATTATACAGTTAATTGATTTGGTGTTGGTCCCACCTCCTCATTCAGTGCACATCATGCTTAAAGGGGTGGAGGGACAGCACAAGAGGAAGACACTTGATGAGAAGGACTGACACAGTAACTGAGATAATGGTGGTAGGCATGTTGGAGACAGACTGGTAGAGCAGGGTTCAGAACTATGGTACATAAGGTCACTGTGAGTCACATTCAACTCGACACATAATAACAATATCCAAAATATGGTTGCTTGGTCTCTACTGGCTGGTGGAACTTGCTTTTGAGGTTGGGGAGTATTGGAGGAAGAGCCATAAGAGTATGTTCTGTAATTATGAAACAGCCCTTCTCTGATCTAACTTCTCTCTTACCACTATGCTACAAAGCCTAGTGATTTGGCTTTAATTACGTTCCTGTTCTTTACGTGTTTCCTAACCCCTCTCTCTCCCCCACCAAGACTTTTGCTATTCTTCCAAGAAAGCTAGCACCTTCTCACCACAGGGCCTTTGCACTGACTGTTACTTCTGCTTGGAATGAGCTTCCTTACATAGTCTCACCTCCTTCAGGTTGCTCAGTGAGGCCCTCCCTGACAACTCTTACTTCTTTTGTTGATTTGTTGTTTTGGGGGCTTTTTTTGGTGGTAAAAATTCTTCTTTAGCAGTGAAACCAGAAAGTTGACAGCCATATGGATGTTGTAAACAAGTCCATCATTTGTTATCTTCACATAGGCAACAGCCACTGCTAGACACAGCACCTTTTTCATGTGGAATTTGATGGTGACTTTACTTCGTCTATGTTTGCCATCATGCTTTCAGTGTGGGTAAGTAGAGGAAGGGAACTTGGACAGCTTTGCTCAGGCTGGGACCCAAGATTCTCAGGATCTGCTTGATCAGAGATTTATTCCTTTCAGAGAGTCCTTCCCCTCATCTGATCTAATGCAGTATCGTATTTCTTTTTATTTCAGTGTAAAAATAATTTTTTATTAAAAAATTAAAGAATAATAATTGTTATCAAATTATTCTTATTAAAGAAATAATTCTTTTTAATTTAAAAATAATTTTAAGCAATATTATTTAATGTGAATAAATTTTTATTTAATGAGTGTTATTTTCTTTTCAATTCCATTGTCCATCAGTGTTACCACAGTTCCTCCACAGTTTGTATACAAAGATTCATCTTCAAGAGAACCCTTGTTCTACTACTGTTCTGTCAATATTGTTATGTGCCATTGAGTCACTTGTGACTCATAACGACCCTGTGTACAGCAGCCCTAAACTCTGCTCTATCTCTTGTCAACATTATTGTCTCAGACACACCTATCCCCATTTCCCCAGTCACTGAATCAATCCATCTCATCAATGGTCTTCCTCTCCTGCACTGTCCCTCCACCCTCCCAAGCATGGCGTCCCTCTCCAAGAACTGACCCCACCTTGCAACATGTCCAAAGTATGAAAGTATGTCAGACGGAGCTTCAGAATCCTTGCCTCCAAGGAGCATTCTGGCTTCACCCTCTCCAGGATGAACTTGTTTGTTCTCCTATGATATATTCAATATGATATATCCATGATATATTCAGTAGTTTTCTCCAACACCAAAGCTCAAAGGCATCAACTCTCCTTCTATCATCCCTAGTCATTGTCCAGCTCTCTGATGCATAGTAAGTAATGGCAAAAACTATGGCTTGAAACAAGAGCACCTTAGTCTCCAGACTGACATCCTTGCTCCTCAGTACCCTGGAGAGGTCTCTGACAGTAGACTTTCCTAATACAATTTGTCTTTTAATTTCCTGGCTTCTGGTACCAAGAGTGCTTATTGTAGAGCCAAGCAAACTAAAGCTGTCAACAATCTCAATCTCTTCACCATCTATCATGATGCTGCCAATCAGCCCAGTAGTGAGAATCTTTGTTTTTTTCAAAATAGAAGTCAATTTCTGGAGGTCATCACATGCTTCTTTTGCCTGTACTGTGCAATACTGACACTGGAAAGAAGAGTTTGAAGAGTTAGCGGAGAAATCATGTGTTACATTTTATTTCTACTAGCACATAGATTGAGGCTCAAAGTCAAGAAGACAAATTCACCACTGGACCAATTGGCAACATCAGGATGGATGGTGAAGAGATTGAGATTGTTCACAGCTTTAGTTTGCTTGGCTCCACAGTCAACACTCTTGACACCAGCAGCCAGGAAATTAAAAGACGTATTGCAATGGGACCTCTCCAAAGTATTGAAGAGCAATGGTGTCTGGAGAGTAAGGTGCATCTGATACAGGCCATGGTCTTTGCAATCACTTGTTATGCATCAGAGAGTTGGACAATGACTAGGGAGTATAGGAGGAGAATTGATGCCTTTGAGCTGTGGTGCTGGAGAAGAGTATTGAATGTACCATGGACTGCTAAGAAAAACAAACAGATTCATCCTGGAGAGGGTTAAACCGGGTAGTTCCTTGGAGGCAAGGATTCTGAGGCTTTATCTGACATACTTTGATCATGTTATAAGGAGGGACCAGTCCTTGGAGAGGGATATCATGCTTGGGAGGGTGGAGGGACAGAGCAGGAGAGGAAGGCCCTCTATGAGGTGGATTGATTCAGTGACTGGGGTAATTGGGATGGGTGTATCAGAGACAGTGCAATTGGCACAGGACAGAGCAGAATTTAGGGCTGTTGTACATAGGGTCGCTATGTGTTGCAAGCGACTTAACGGCACATAACAACATTAGCATTTACACAGTAGAAACAAATAGGGCATAAAAATGTGACCAATAGGTTGAATGCTAAAAGATAGTGAAAAGAAAACCAACTGGGAATTGTTTTATGGTTAAGTCCACAGCAAATCAACAAATTGAGACATAAAAATGCACCCAGTAGGTTATTTCATTTTTTAAATGAACATTTTACTGTGGTTGGAATGAGAATTTGCAGAGCAAATTGGTTTTCCATTCAACACCTCATACACATTGTGTTTTGTGACATTGATTACAACCCCCCACATTGTACAACCTTCCACTTCCTCCTTATGCTTCCTGTTTCCATTTTCCTTTCATGTTCCCTCCCTGCCTTCTATCCTTAGTCCCTAGGCAGATGCAGCCTTTTTGATCTTGAATGGTTGATAAGGAGTACATTCCTACGTGGTGTTATTGATTGATTACCTGTCTGATTTAAAGATGAGTCACTGAGGTAATGTCAGTTCCAAACTGGAAAGGTGACAAAGAACGATAGTCTTGAGAGTTTCACCAGTCTGTATCAGGCCAATAAGCCTGGTCTTTTGTGTCTGTGTGTATAATTTTGAATCTTATTCCACATTATTCTTCTACTCTATCAGGGAGAGACTTTCTATTATATCCTATTTAGAGCTGTTAGTAATGGTAGCTGGGCACCATCTAGTCCTTCTGGTCTCAGAGTTGTAAAGACTGAAGTTTACATGGTCTTTCAGTCCTGGGACCAACAATCTTTGGTTTTCCTCACTCTTCTTTGCTCCAGATAGGAGAAGACCAATAGTTGCACCTTAGACAGCTACTCACAAGCTTTTAAGACCTCAGTCACCACTGATGAAAGGAAGATGTAGAACTCTTATGCCTGTGACCTTGATATTGACAAGTCTTTTCCAAGTCATACCTTCCACTTAATGCCCTTTTCTGTTTTATTTTTTTCTCTTTAACCTTTGTTACATTCTTAACATATACTTGTTTATTGGGTCTCCTGCCAGAAGCCAACAACACCATGAGTCTTGCTTGTTTTTTTCCCTTGCTGTGCCCCAGCACTTACAGAAACACATAGAAGGAATTTTCAATAAGAAATTATGCTCATGGTTACCGCATTTGTTCTGCACTAGGCTCTGTGCCAAGTTCTTTTTAGACAGTGTTTCACTGCTCTCATCAATTCTGAGCAAGAAAGGATACAATGGCCCCATTTTACAGAAAAAGACATTAAGACTCAAGGTCTATCAGCTTTTTATTCACAGCCACTAGACTGATAAAATCTCATGTATGTAAAGCCTGTGACACATGTGTACAACCACAGCCTTGTAGAGTTAGTTACTTTCACGGGTACTTTTTGCATCTTTTTCTCTAAAGTGAACTGGCAACCAGCTCCTGAGTCAGACTCTCACTGTCAGTAGAGGGGGTTGTTTGTCTTGAAACTGAGTCACTCAGGGACGGACACAGGCACAGACCCAAAGTTATGAGTCAGCTTTCCACAAACCAATAGGAATTCAGAGGCAGGAGCCCCCTGGCACATCCTACAAGATGGGAAGCTGGGAACCAGAGAGAGTGGAGCGCACATCTGAGGTTACACAGTTCAGGGCCAGGAGGCCTCATTTTCCACAAGGGGGAGAATGACATGGGAAGGTAGTGGGAGAGACACCACAGCCAGCTGCTACTATTCCAGACACTGAGAAAAGGGGTGAATCAGCCTGTAGGGGAGAACAAGCTTAAACAACACTCAGGCTGGGAGCTGATTTTCCAGGATGCCAAGGCACCTGACTCAGCACTGGGAATCTTGGCTGAGTGTGTTCTGGGAAATGTCAGGCAGTTCAGGAAAATAGGGCTCCCACTCACCATCCCTCTGGTTGGCGGAGAGCAGACAAAGCAGGGTGTCCGGGTGTATGAAGGAACAGAGGGGCCAGTGTGCGGGGACTGTATGCAAGTGTACGCTTTGGAGAAAGAGGTTTGAGACAACTGGTAAAGGGTTTATACGGACAAGTGAGGAGGTTGGTGTCAAGACGTAGGTGTTTGAAACAAAGGGTAGGTGTGCACAGTAGAAGGGCTCCGTGAGCATGTTTGCTGTGAAGTTTGTTTGCTGTGACGTCTGAGAGTCCATGCCTAGCATGTCAAGGAAAAAAAAATGAGAAAAGGAGTTAGTTGTCAAAGAGAGGTGGAATTTATAAGCGACAGATAGAAGGATCTGCTACGTACAAGGTGCGTTGAAGCAGTTTAAAAAGAACCCAAAACCCAACACCTTGTTGCCATTTATTCGGAGCAGTCGCATAGCTAACCTTCCAAACGGGTTTCCGAGGTTGGAAATTCCACCGGAGAAGATTGCTCATCTTTCTCCGGAGCAATGCTGATGGATTCGAAGCACCAGAGAGGCTGCTTTTGTGTTAGCAACGCAACTCCCTACCACGTGCAAACCCAGGCGGCGTCCCAAAGTTCCCCAAGAGGCCCTGCGGCCCACCCTTAACTACCGCTCCATACTTGAGCCCCGTCCTTGGACCCGCCCCCTATGCGCAGAGGGACGTGTTTAGTGGAAGTCAGTGAGCCGCTGCTCCGTCATTGGTTAGCTGACCGGAGGGGGCGGGCTTTCTTTGGCTTCCGGAAGCACAAGGGCCCCTCTGCAAGTTGCAGACCTGGAGCTAGGAAGCTGTGGATGCTTAGCAACCGGGGGAGGAAACCAGTAACCGAGTAGAGGGAACAGGGGAGAATTTGTAGGTGCTTGGCAACGAGGGGAAGGCGGTTCCTAGCAACGGGGAAAGCTCGGAGAACTGGAAAGGTAGCCTTGAAGGGTGTCTAGCAACGGGAGAGGACCCTACCAACAGCGGGGGCTAGAAAGGGTCTAGGAGAAAGTGGATTTTCGAAGGCACGCAGAAGGAGCTCAGTGTTCCTAGAAACGTAAAGGGGAGCCTGGGCCTGTTAATAGGGAAGAAGTCTTTAGGGAGTGGGAATCTTAGTGGTGGAGGCGCAGAGCAGGGAGGCTAGCCCACAACCCCCCTGCCTTTCACCCCTCTTGTGTCTCAGGCGATGTTGCTGGAGGTGGGGGTCCTTCTGCGGGGGACCTGTGGACATCTGGGCCGAACTATTGATCTGCCTTGTGGCGTCCTGAGGCCAGGGCTCCACTGGTGGGTAAGACTGGCGAGGGTCCCCAGGAGAAAAAGGTGGAGAGGGATCCCAAAGTCTTCCAATCCTTGCTAAAGTCTGTTTCTCGCAGGGAACTTGTGGGGGTTCACAGACCCAGAGGTTCCACCAGGATGACCCTGGTAGAGGTCTGGGGGAGGAGGACATTCGCAGGGCACGAGAGGCGCGACCCAGGAAGACACCCCGACCCCAGGTATCGCATTCTCCCACCCCTCCCAGTGAAACCCGGGGAAGGGCTGCTGACCCCCTGAACTTGGGGAAGGATGCCCCTCCCAATCTTCCCCCTTACGGACCTCCCCCTCTTTCCCCAGCTGAGTGACTGTGCTCGAGAACGCAAAGTGCCTGCTTCCCGGGTTAGCCGACTGGCCAATTTTGGGGGTAGGTGTGGCACTCTGGGATATTGGGAGCTAGGCTGGAGTGGGGAGCAAAACCAGGAAGAAAGTGAATCAGACAGGAAAAGAGACAAGAGAACCAGAGAGGAATGTAGATGATGACATTTATTGAGAATGTGCAAGGCCCCATACTCGGCACCCAATCTGAGTGGTTGTTTCTCTGTTATCAATGAAGAGATAGAGGCCAAGATTGCTGGGTGATTTGCCTTGAGGTCACAGAGCAGAATTGTCTAAATTGTAGATTACAGCCTTCATGAAGTCAGTTAATGTGTTACAGTCAGATTTTTTAAAAAAAAAACTAGACAATGTATTTGGATTGTTTTGCCCCATCAAGTCAGAACTGACTTCATAGCTGACCCTCCAGCAGCAGGTTTTCAGAGGCTGTATATAGCAGGGGAGGAGACGCCCATCTTTCTCCCTCAGAACAGCTGTTAGATTTGAACCCCTTTCCTCTGGGTTAGCAGTGCAGCTAGGCCACTGGAGCTCCCCTTGAATAGTAATACAATTACAATTGTTACATGAAACATTATAAGGTACCTTGGTCAATACCAAGGATGCCTGGCTGCTAACTGATAGTTTGGCAGTTTGAACCCACCAGCAGCTCTCAAGAGAAAGATGGGCAATCTTCTCCCACAGGAATTTACCACTTCTGACCCAAGGGAGGGTCCTGAGTCAGAAGTGACTAGACGGCAGTGAGATAATTCTGTTCTAGTTTTAATGCAAGCATTCTAATTAGAGATCATGTTTCAAGTTTTAAAGATCCTGATTCACAATGTAAAGAGGGAGTAAAGTATAGTGGTGAGAGCCTTGGCACCTGGCTTCTCACAAGGTCTGATTCTCCTGTGCCTTCACATTCTGACTACGGGCGAGTTACTTAACTCCTCCACATCTCTGTCTTCTTTCTGTAAAATAGACATTTTCCCGTAGCTCCTAGTTCCTGATGATATGAGAATAGCATGAGTCTATGCACATCCCTTCAGGTACTGGTACTTAGAAAATTTCAGCTACTCTTTTTTTACAGAGATGGCAACAGTGAAAGAAGTAAGAGTTCCAGGATAATTTTTTTAAATTTCTTTTTATTTTATTATTTGTGTGTATATACCATCAAATCTGATCTAACTGGTACAGGAAGAGATTGCCCCTCCTTTTCCGGCAGAGTTGCTGGTGGATTTGAATGGCATGTTTCTGGGATTGCAGTGCATCTTCTTGCCACTAGGCCACCAGAGCTCCCCCCAGGATAATTTTTAGGGACAAAGAGAGAGAGTCATTCAGAGGTGCAGAGAGTATGTCAAAAGAGAAAGACCCCCAGACAGATGTGCCAGATGGAGAGAACTTCAAGATGGAGACATGGCTGGCTCAGGAAGTGAGATGATAGGAGTGTGAGGAGGGGAAGGTACTGGAGACAGAAACAGGAGTCACAAAGGGACCAGGAGACCTGAAGGCATCATTCTGGGGGCTTTCTAACCTTGCCTGCATTCTAGAATCATATGGAAGGCTTTTTAAAAGAAGAGAGAGAATTATCAGGCCTTAGCCCAAGTCTGTTAAATCAGAATCTTCAGGGGTCAGGTCTGGATATTTTAAAAAGCTTCTCCAGTGACTCTAATGTGAAGGCAAGGCTGAGAAGTGCTGGCTCAGGAGAAAATCGAGAGCTTAGAGAGAAGTAGCTTTAACTAGAGAGAAAGAATGAATAAACTGAGCTGAGTCCAGAGGGGTACAGAGAAAGACTGAGAGGAGAGATGGTCGGGAGGAGAACCCCCTGGGCAAACACATTCAGTCCCACTTTCACTCCTCAGGACTCGCTGTGGGATTGGGCCTGGGAGCACTGGCTGAGGTGGCCAAGAAGACCCTGCCTGGAGGACGAGGACAGTCAGGTGAGTGAGCCACATTGCCATTGTTCAGGCCTTGGCCTTGCTGTGTGACCTGGAGCTATGCCTCCCCCTCTCTGAGCTCAAATTTCCTTGTCTGGAAAATGGAGATGTATAACAGCATCTGTGCCTCTTAGGGTCAGTGTGAAGTGCTTAGAACTGAGCTAAGCTGTTACTGTGGTTGTGATTGTTGTTTGATGCTGTCAAGTCAGTGCTAACTCAGCAGTCCTGTGTGTAATAGAAGGCAACCCTGCCCAGTCCCGTGCCACGCTCATAGACTGCTGCTTAAAGCTGGTGTTGCAGTCACTGTGGTAGTCTATCTCCTTGAAGACCTTCCTTCTTTTTCACTGATGCTCATGTTTTCCCAGCATGATGCCTTTCTCCCCTCCTATTAACACACCCAAAGTATGTGAGATGAAGTCTTACAGTCCTTGCTTCTAAGGAGTGCTCTGGCTACACCAAGGCAGATTTGATTGTTCTTTTGGCAGTTATAATTTTCACCAGTATCAAGAGAAACAATTTAATGTATCAGGAGTTGAGTTCTTCACTTGGAGGAGGAGAGGAAGGCTGAAGGTAGAGGGGCTAGTGGGAGTACAGTAGACACAGAATTAGGTGTGCAGATTAGAGTTTGTAGGTTATGCCTACAAAAGCCTATGTCTTAGAGCAAATGGGGGGCATAGTCAGGGTGAACTTTGACTGGATCTCTGTTTGAAAACAAAACAGTTACAACAGATTTTTGGAGACAACTAGGGAGATTTGTACTTGGTCTGTCTAGTAGATGGTATTAGAGAATCAATACTAATTTTCTTCAGTATGATAATGATACTTATAATGGTACATGATAATGGTGATTACACAGAAGAATATAATTATTCTTAGGAAAAGAATGATGAGGCTTTTAGGGAGTGTAGGTGATATGAAACTTCGTTCAAATGAATCGGTAAAACAGGAATCATAAAAACAGCAGCAACAACCATCTAATACATACACACACACACGGCAGATGAGGCACATATGTTCCAGTCTGGATAGAGGTGAAAGGGATGTGAGACTTCCTCGGATTACATTTACAAGATTTCTATCAGTTTGGATTCTTTGAAAATAAAAGAATAAGGGGTGGGGAGTGAGGCAAACCCAAGTGTGCACCTCACTCTGCCACCTTCATGCTGTGTGACCTAGGATCAGGCACTGTACCTCTCTGAGTTTCTTCTAAGTCAAGGCATTGGCACTTCTTACTTCCTGGAATGGTCATGGAGATTCAGCTTGAGAATCTGCACAGACACTGACTTCCACCTGCCACAAGTGTTCCATAAGGAATACGATATTTGTGTGTGTGTGTGTACTAAGAACATTTTTTTAAAAAACCCATCCAACTGTTGCTGTCAAGCCAGAATAGACTTATAGCTGACCCTCCAGCAGGTTTTCACAGGTTGCAAGTTACATGGGAGCAGATTGTTCATCTTTCACCCTCAGAGCAGCTGGTGGATTTAGACCACTAGCCTTTGGCTTGGCAGCGACACTCCCTACCTCTAGGCCACCCGAGCTCATTTGGTGAATAAAAACTTACTAAAAGCTTTCATGAAGCATGATAGAATTTGCATACAGAATTGTACACATGACACATGTAGCTTGATGGATTTTCACAAGTCTGTGATCAAGCAGCCTTAGAACAGTGGTTCTTATACCTTCTGCTCTTATCCTCACACGTCCTTAAAACAGAGGAGTAAGTCAAAGGTGAGGCAGTCGCAATAGAGTGTTACTCACCTGGAAGGAGAAAGGAAGTCCCAGTGTATACTGCAGAGTGAATGAATCTTAAAAATACGCTGACTGAGGGAACTCTGGTGGCCTAGTGGCAAGAAGCTGCACTGCAATCCCAGAAGCGCACAGTTCAGATGCACCAGATGCTGTGCTGGAGAAGGAAGGGCAAGCTCCTTCTGTACCTGTCAGATCCTATTTGACGGTACACACACACACACACAAATAATAAAATTACAAAAAAGTATAATAAAAATATGCTGACTGAATTAAGCCATTCACAAAAAAGGTAAATACTATGTGGTCTCACTCACATAGAATAGGAAAAATAGAGAAACCAAAGATTTAGTGTTTACTGGAAATGGGGAGGAAGCAGAAGGGGCAATTATTTTCAGAGATCACTGAGTTTCTGTTAATGGGGAAGGAATAGTTGGGAAAAGGGTAGTGATCATGGTTGAACCACATGAAGAATATACTCAATGTTGCTAAATTATCTATGTAGAAATTACGGGGTTGGCAAGTGTTTGTTAAGCAAATTTTACCACAATTTTTTTTTAAGGAAGAAACTTCAGAATCTTAACTCTCAAACATACTAATCTTAAGATGCCTGCACAGGCTTAAAACTGATGAATGAGCAAATGTTCTTAAATGATGTCAAGTCGACTACAACTCTTAGCGAGCCTATAAAAAACATATCTGAACCTGGCCCTATCCTGTGCCATCCTCATGACTTCTGTCATGCTGAAGCCCATTTTTGTAGTCACTGTATCAGTGCATCTCATAGAGGGTCTTTCTCTCTTTCCCTGCCCTCTACTTTTCCCAATATGATATCTCTTTCCAAGCATTGGCCTCTCTGGACAACATTTTCAAAGTGTGTGGAACAAAGTGTCATCATCCTTGCCTCTAAGGAACACTCTGGTTGCATTCCCTCCAAGACAGATTTGTTCTTTTGGCAGTCCATGAGATATTCAACACTCTTCAACAACACAATTCAAAGGCATTGACTCTTCTTCAGTCTTCCTTATTCAGTGTCTAATTATCAGATCCATAGGAAGCAATTGAAAATACCATCGCTTACCTCAGGCACATCTTAGTCTTTAAACTGATATCCTAGCTTTTTATCACTTTAAGGAAGCCCTTGACAGCAGCTGTCCCCAATGCAGCCTATCTTTTGATTTCTTCACTCTTGGTACCAAGGGTGTTGATTGTGAATCTAAGTAAGATGAAATCATTGACATTAATCTTTTCTGCATCTGCCATGATGCTGCCTGTTGGTCCAGTGGTGAGGATTTTTGGTTTTTTCACGATGAGTTATAATCAACATTTGAAGGAATCGACTTCAGTAAGTGATTCAAGTGTTCTTCACTTTTTGCAAGCAAAGTTGTATCATCTGCATAAAACAAATTGTTGATGAGTCTTCTTCCAATCCTGATGCTTTTCTCCTATAGTGTAGCTTCTGGGATAATTTGCTCAGGATAAAGATTGAATGTGTATGGAGAAAGGATATAACACTGACACATGCCTTTCCTGATTTTAAAGCATGCAGGGGAACACTGTATGAAAAAATAAAAAGAGTGATAGTCACACAGTAAAATATTATTCAGCCATGAAAAGGAATGAAATACTGATAGATGTCACAACGTGAGTGATCCTTGAAAACAGGTTGAGTGGAAAAAGGCAGACAGGAAAGGCCACATGTTACATGATTCCACTTATATTAAATACTACTGTAGATTCATCCTAGGGAGCTCTGGTGGCAGGTGTGCTGCCAGCCTGAAGGTGCACAGTTTGAATCCACCAACTGCCTTGTGTGGTAGAAAGATGGGCAGTCTGCTGTGTGATTCACTGCTTCTGAAAACCTGCTGGAGTGTCAGCTCTGAGTTGCTTCTGACTTGACACTACACAGTGACAACAACATAGATTAATCTTGGGACATAAAGTGCATTTATGGTTACCTAGGACTGGAGAAAAGTGCCTGACGGCACTGTGATTAAGCTCTGGGCTGCTAACAGGAAAGTTAGCAGTTCAAACCCACCAGCTACTGCATGAGATAAAGGTAAGAGCCTGCTTCTGTAAAGATCTAAAGTGTTGGAAACCCTAGGGAGCAGGTCTACGCTGGGCCTCTGTAAGTCAGAATTGACTTGACCACAGGAGAAGGTTGCAAGTATAACTACTGCCATCAGATTGATTCCAGTTTAAAGCGACCTGGTGAGGGACTGACCCAGAGTACAGCTGCCTCTTGGGTTTCCAAGCTGTAAATCTTGACAGAAGCAGACTGCCTCACCTTTCTCCCACAGAGTGGCTGGTGGGTTCAGTCTACAACCAGTCTTCAAAAAGCAACCAATTGCTTTCACCCACAGCACTATGGGGGCTCCCAGTGGGCATACAGCTGTTAAAGAATATAGTGGGGGCCCCAAAGAGCTTGTTTATGTGGGTGATATTGTTGTTTATCACATTAGAGATCAAAGATGAGAGGTGTTTACAACATGAGAATACACATGCAAGTTCCATCAGCCATCAGAACAATGATGTCTACATATGTCACTCAAAAAGAATAAGTTCATATTAAACACTCAAGAAGGAATGAGAATGAACAGGGAGCAAATGGGGAGGGAGGAAATTTAGCAACAGTGAATGATTTTTTTTTTGGTACAGTGAACTGGGAGGATTGGGATGAAAATTTACAACAATGAGTGAATGAAAATTCAACTTTTCTAAAACTTATGTTAAAATCACAATTTAAAAATAAAAAAGAAAAGGGAGCAAACATATCCTATCATCACCATGAAAATAGTTTTGATTTTCAGACCTTCTGTTCATTCTATTGGCAGTCATCTGGGTCGTTTCCGGTTTGAGATTGTAATAAATACTGCTTCTGTGAGGATTCCAGTGCTGTCTGTTGGTGGACACATTAGTTTTTCTTTAGGAAAGGAATTGTGTCGGGTATACGGGTGTGTAGCTTCGGTAGAAACTTCCCAACTGATTCCCAAAGGCACTGTGCCATAAGCTCAGGTTGCTCCACATCTTTGCCAACACTTAGTGTTGTCTGGTGGATATGCAGTGGTATACCCATTATTACCATGATTCAAATGCTAATGATCATTATTTCCTCCCCCAGAGGACAGCTCCAGCCCTTTCCTGTCCGAAGCCAATGCTGAGCGGATTGTTCAGACCTTGTGTACTGTCCGGGGGGCCGCCCTCAAGATTGGCCAAATGCTCAGCATACAGGGTACAGCACCACCTTTCATCTCTGACCCCCTGGCCTTGCCTCTACCCAGCCCACCCCACACTCCCACTTCAGATACCCAAACAGGCTGCATTTCCACCTTTCTCCACCCTACCCCACCCACCTACAGCCCCCTCCTCACTCACTGCTCCCCCTCTCCCTGCTGTTTCCCAAGACAACAGCTTCCTAAGCCCCCAGCTGCAGCGCATCTTTGAGCGGGTCCGCCAGAGTGCTGACTTCATGCCCCGCTGGCAGATGTTGGTGAGTGTCCAGTGCACCCCTTACAGTCCCCTACTCGTGGCTTCATTGATCTATTTAATACCTGCCTCTGGGGCACAGTCTCAGCTATCACACTTGTAAAAGGGACATTTCTGAGGCAGCCTCTTCGTAGCACTGCTGTTAACAATTGTACACAAGAAGGATGAGCACCCTGTACAGCCTGGGCTCTGTGGGGGCTGCTGAGGAGGCAGCAAGGCCCAGTAGTTAGGGACCAGACCTGTCTTGACCTTTGTGTACCTCAGTTTCATCATCTGTGAGTTAGGAATAGTGTTTAGCAACACCCACATCATAGTGTTAAAGAAATTAGACATAAAGCACTTCCAACAGCTTCTGTGATGCAAGTTATGTTACGTTGTTTTTAAGTTAGAGGAGACGGTGTCTGTACGTAGGTTGCCACCATACCTGGTACCAGGACATAGTCTGTTCTACTAACTGAGTAAGATGAGGTGTTCAGTGCTGGGCACCTGTTTCCTTGCGGGATCTGTCCTGGCCCCTCTCAGAGCTACTGTGAACAGGATCCAGCCCCAGGATGCCCTGAGGAAATTCTAGCTCTTGTTTCACATACTAACTTCAAATTAGTAAAAGGATGTACAAAAAGAATAAAGAATTACTGCCTCTCTAACTGTGGATAATAACATTACTAACAGTCCTGGGAATGCAGTTCTTCAGAAACCCAAATTGGGTGCGGCTTTCCAGTCCCCACTTGGTAATCTTGGGCAGGAGACTTTCCCCTGAACTTCAGTTTCCTCATCTATAAAGCGAGGTGGTAGTGGAGAACTTAGCCCAAGGCCCTGTGAGTGGTGTGCCCTTATTTACTTTTTTAGTTATTTTTTCCCCTTGTTGTGTACTGTCAAATAGGATCCGACTGGCACAGGAGGAGATTTGGAGCATCTGGTGGCTTCAAACTGTGCACCTTTGGGATTGCAGCGCAGCTTCTTGCCACTTAGGCCACCAGAGCTCCCTTGCCCTTATTTATAAACAGACCCTACTGCCATTAACATGACTGTGCTTGTCCTGACCATACCCCTCAGAGAGTCCTTGAAGAGGAGCTGGGCCGGGACTGGCAGGCTAAGGTGGCCTCTTTGGAGGAGGTGCCCTTTGCTGCCGCCTCGATCGGGCAGGTGCACCAGGGTACCCTGAAGGATGGGACAGAGGTGGCAGTGAAGATCCAGGTGAGAGGGAATTGAGCCAGGAGTGGGCAGGGTGAGAGTGGGCAGGCCTGGTGGTCCCGCTGAACCTTCTCTTCCTCCCTCCCTTGTAGTACCCAGGTGTGGCCCAGAGCATCAAGAGTGATGTCCAGAACCTGCTGGCAGTGCTCAGGATGAGTGCGGCCCTGCCTGAGGGTGAGGCTCTTCTCTGCTTGTGGGGCTGGATGGGGGAAGAGCAGTCCACACAGAACTGGGTGTATGTGGTGTGTATGTGTGAACACATGCCTGTGAAGGAGAGAGAGTTACCCGGGCAGGGAGAACCCATGGCGTGAGTGTGTGGGGAAAAAAACACAGCTTAGAACTTCAGAACAAGTCACAGAGACAAATTCAGAAACAGATGAACAGAGGGTGTGCAGTGCAGAGAGGGCTTATGGGTGTGAAGGAACCACCAAAGCACAAACGAATTGTAAGCAGGACAGCATGATTGTGTTAGAGGAAGAGTCTGAGGAAAATAGAGTGACAGGGTGTCGGGGGGTGGGGGGTGGGGTGGGCTGGAGTGAGATTCTGAGACAGCAGTGTGTGAGACACAGAAAGGGCGCGAGGCTGGGTGGCCTGTTTGACAGAGGGCTGTGTGAGGGGCTGTTGTGCGCATGTGTGGGAGAGGCAAGCAGGAGCCTCCAGGACTGGCTTTGCAGTAGGACGGGGGGAAGTGAGTGTTCAAGTCAAGAGTGGGCAGAGACCTGGGGTGTGGCAAAGGCTAAAGAGGGGCCAGAAGATCTGGAGCAGAAGGTGTGAGAGACTGAAAGAGAAGACATCTTTGAGTGGGAGCCCAAGGCTAGACCGGCTGGCCTGTGGCCTCCTAGCTGAGGGGGTGAATCTCGCAGGCCTGTTTGCTGAGCAAAGTCTTCAGTCCTTGCAGCAGGAATTGGCTTGGGAATGTGACTACCGCCGTGAAGCAGCCTGTGCGCAGAACTTCAGGTGAGCTGAGCCCCCTGCCGGGCCCCTGGGCACCCCTTTCCTGCCAGCTTCCCTCTCAGGCTGAGTGCTAAGTGGAGACCCCTCATCTCCAATCTCCTGCAGCTGGAGGTTTAGGAAGGATCTGACAGACTTTTTCCTTCTTTTGTTTCTTGGTTCATCTTTCCATCCATCTATCATTCATCCACCCATCCATGTATCTGTCCAGCCAGCTATTACTAACCCATTTCTCCATCCATTCAACCATGTATCCAGCCATCCATGCATCCAGACATCCATGCATCCACCCTCCCAACCACCACCCTGCTACCCATCTATCAGTCCATCCATCTATCCACCCATCCACTCTCCCACCCACCACCCGGCCACCCATGCATCCATCCACCTAGCCAGCCAGCCACCCCACCTGTCCGCCCATCCACTCTCCCACCCACCACCCAGCTACCTAGCAACCCATCCACCCACCCATTCATCCATCCATCATTCTTCCCTTCTGTTATCCCTTATGTGCTTGATGACACTGGGAGCTCACACCATTGCTTTGAGTGTTAGTGTTCTCCTCTGTTAAACAGAACTCATAACCACATGATCTGGTGGTGAAGATGGATGTAACAGGGACTGAATTACACACAGTGAGATGTTGTTCTTTCTACTGGATTGACAGAGACTAAGAAATTTGTCAGTGCCAAGAGCTTGAGGGCACAGGACTCTGAACTTCCCTTATACATGTGAGTGAGAGGGTTGGCACTGTCTAATAAGATTAAATATTTATATACCCCACAACCCAATCAGGAGAAGGATGGGAAATTTCCTGTGCCTCTAAATTTACTGCCTCTAAGAAGGATGGGAAATTTCCTGTGCCTCTAAATTTACTGCCTCTAAAAACCTGCTGGCCAGCTATGAGTTGGATCAGACTTGACAGTGCACAACCACCACCACCCAGTAATTGCCTTCCTAGTTAAATACTTCATAGAGACACTCTAACAGGCTCTGCTAAGATACTTAGAGCAGCCATATTTGAAATTGTCCCAAATTAGAAACAACCCAAATCTTGACCAGAGCAAGATGGATAAATAGATTATAATCTGCCCATCAATGAAATACTACAAAGCAGGAAAAATGAGTCATGGCTACACCATCTTAGAGGCATCATGTAAAGTGACAACACTTCAGTGGGCTCTCCTACAATGTGCCCTGGAGACAGGGTGAGAGGAAAGGCTGCGGAAGGCGGTGGTTAAGGAACGCTGTGGCCAGGACCCAGATAGAAGTGTGCTTAAGTCTGCCCTTACCCAGCCATGTGGCCTGAGTCTATACGCTGGTTTTGGGAGAGTGTCCTCCTCTTAGAGGGAACTGTGCTGATGAAATGCTTGGTACAGGGCCTAGCTCAAAGATAAAGAGTTTTTTAAGTAAGAACAAAAATACACCAACCAAAGAAGACCTCGAGGAGGAGAGTTTGAGGTAGGGGTGGGCCTTCCCACATCAGATCTAGGAGCCCTTCCACCCAGAGTAGACTTAGAATAAAAACCCATCTATTTCCTCTGGCCTCCACCCACCCATCTAGACCCCCTCACTCTCCTTCAGCCACCCTATGTGTCCCCAGTGACAGGCCCCCTCACAATCTTTGCCTCCCAAATCTTACACCCATACTTTTCCTGCAATGGTTTGTCAGAGTGATCTCTAACAGTGGGTGGGGAGCTGGCTCATTGACTCCTCTTCCCGGCATTCTCCCACACAGGGACAAATGGACAAAGACATGGATTCTGTGTCTATTACTTCCCACCATTCAGAGTAATAATTCCAAGGAGTGCCTAATGTGTATTGCTGTGGACTCTTTGGATGAATTAGCAAATTGATGAAAGATAATACACATCTAATTAAGTACTTGGGCTCCTTGTGGGGCACCAGAAGCCACAGGAGTGTTTCTGGGATTTAAGTGGTGACTGGGTTTCCTATAGCACCCAGTTTTCGGGACAGACCCAGAATAAGTGCTATGGAAGTTATCTGTTGAATGAATAAATGAAATGTCTGAATGAATTTGAATCCAACCATGTCTTAGTCCTAACTTAGGATCAGAGGGGCAAGGGAAAGGCAGGAGAAAAGCAAGACATACACTCCTGTTAGAGTTGAGTCCAGAGACCTGAAGCACACTTGCACTTATTCCTTCCTTCTCCTCTTGCCCCAGGCAGTTGCTGGCAGATGACCCCTTCTTCCGGGTGCCGGCAATAATCCAGGAGCTGTGCACCACACGGGTGCTAAGCATGGAGCTGGCCAGGGGGGTCCCTCTGGACCAGTGCCAAAGCCTGAGTCAGGACGTGCGGAACGAGGTACATGGTCCCAATGCACTGTAGGGAGGGCACCGCCCTGGGGTGTGCTGCTGAGGGAGGCCAGACCCACGGTCCCTCCCCAGTCTAGAGACTGCTCTCGATAAAAGGCTACAATTTCTGTTTCTGCTTCTCCTCTCCTCCCACCAGATTTGCTTCCAGCTCCTGAGGCTCTGTCTTCGGGAGCTGTTTGAGTTCCGCTTCATGCAGACAGATCCCAACTGGGCCAACTTTCTGTATGACGCCTCCAGCCACCAGGTCAGTTCCTTGTGATTGGCTTCAGGGTGTACTCACAGTGGTAACAAGTAGCCCCTGGGAGCTGGGTAGCTCCGCACAGCAGTTTATTATGCACTGTGTGACAGGCTGGGCTGGCTCCCCATTTTGTGGTTGTGCCATTGCCTGGGGTCTGACAGTGCTCTGTGTCTAGTTGAAGAGGAAAGAGGCTGAGAAGGTAGCATCCTTCCTCACTGCTCTGGCTATTCTTTACTTGACCTTTCTTTCCATTGATGAGAGCCAGTCACTTGGCCTGTCAGATGCTGGGAAATGGGTCCCTCGCTGGGCAGTGGCTTCCTTGTGCTTGTTGTTATGTGCCATCAAGTTGAACTCAACTCATAGCTGACTCTTCAGTGGGTTTTCAGAGGCTGTGACTCAGACCGGAGGAAAGTGCCCATCTTTCTCCTGTGGAACAGCTGGTGAATTCAAGCCATGTGCCTTTGGGCAGCATAACTTCTTATCCCTTGGCCACCAGAACTCCCTTCCATGTGGTAGTACACCCCTCTAGAAGAAGGGGCACATCTTTTGGAAGGCAGTTAGCCATCAACCACCACACTTGTCATTCTGCCTCTGGGCAGTGTTGAAAAATCTAGCCCTTATCCTGGCCTTTTCAGAGTTCCCATCACCAGCCTGTGATGACCTTGACTTGACAGGGAGCAGAGGCCAGTGAGGTCAGTAATGGAGGAAGGACAGAGAGGGGCCTCAGGACTGGGGAAGTACAGACAGAGGTAGATGAGATCCAGAAACACTTCGTCAGAGAGGGTCCATTGAAATTGTCATCAGAAAGTTGAGTCAGCCCTTCAGTGAGGAGGGTGGGGTGTTCCCAGCATAGGCTCTGTGTACCAAGGGGAGTTTAGACTGAAAGACTTCCATTGTGCCCTCGCATCTTCAACTTTATCAGAGATTGTCACATATTTCTCCAGTGTGGTTCATGTTCGCCTTTGCCTCTAAAAAGATCTTTCTAAATTAATCATCTGGTCAAGATATTCCTTCCTCGACCCTCCAGCACCCTCAGGACCAGCCTCAGCCCCTTCCCAGCCCTTCCCCTCAATGTACACCCTAGCCCTGCATCTCTTTCTAGAATTACATCTCAGAGAGGTGTTTTTCTAACTCTGGAGGTATCAGGAGTCCTGAAACAATTTATTAGGAACCCAAAGCGATTTTTGCTTTAAAAGAAGAGAGTGGACACATCAGTCTGTCATAAATTGTAGGAATTTATGTGGTTTCAGGACATTTAAAGAAATTACTCTCTCACTTCCTTTTTTCAATTTTATTTGTATTTTTGGGAATATCCACAGAAACAAGCACAATCCAGTTTATACTTACACAATTGAGAGACATTGATTGCAGTGTTCATATCAGACAGCCACCCTCATCCTTCTTTTGTGAGCTGTTCCTTCTCCATTCACAAAACTCCCATCCTCTGAGGTTTCTGTCTGCTCTTGAGTTGCTCTTGCCAGTTGGATCTTACAGATAAAGGCCTTAAAAGAGCCCAGTGCTCAAGGCAGAGACCTCTTTTATTAGTTAAGACAAACTATTGGTTTTCTAAAGTACTCAAGAGCAACGGTGTCTCTCTGGAGACTAAGGTGCGCCTGATACAGTCCATGGTCTTTGCAGTCACTTGTTATGCATCAGAGAGTTGGACAATGACTAGGGAGGATAGAAGGAGAATTGATGCCTTTGAGCTGTGGTGCTGGAGAAGAGTATTGAATGTACCGAGTATTGAATGTACCATGGACTGCCAAGAAAACAAACAGGTTCATCCTAGAGAGGGTTAAACCAGGCTACTCCTTGGAGGCAAGGATTCTGGGGCTTCGTCTGACATATTTTGGACATGTTGTAAGGAGAGACAGATCCTTGGAGAGGGACATCATGCTTGGTAGGATGGAGGGACAGCGCAGGAGGGGAAGACCCTCTATGAGATGGACTGATTCAGTGCCTGGGGTAATCGGGATGGGTGTGTCAGAGGCAGTGCGATTGGCACAGGTTAGAGCAGGGTTTAGGGCTATTGTACATAGGGTCGCTATGAGTCGCAAACGACTCGACAGCACATAACAACAACAACATTTGTTTTAGGGAGCTCTGATGGTAAGGAGTTGTACCCCATATCTAGAAGTTTGAATCCACCATCTGCTTCACAGGAGAAAGATAGACAATTTCCTCCTGTGTAATTTCACAGCATCCGTAAATTTGCCAGAGGAGGGTCCGCTATGAGTCAGTTCCAACTTGATGGCACATAATACACACATTACTTGCTTTTAAAATAACTTGAAGGGCTAAGGGTTTTGGGTTTTTTTTGGCTGGAGGTTTAAAGATTTCAGGACATTTTTGTTTGACTTTTATACATGTGTGTTTGTAATGACACCCTGCATATGCTGTATTCCTTCCTGTGGGTTGCAGTCAGTGGTTTGAATGGACTCCTGGCCTAGAGACATTCTCACACATCATGTTCATAGAGCACCGTTATCTCAAGTAGAAGCCAGAACCAACCACAGGGGCCATCAGCCAGAGGAATGCCCTGTGCTGCACTCACAAGCCGCATTCCTTGTACAGAAATGGAGAAATGAATGAATAAGCTTGAGCTACATTTAGCAATAAGGATAATTGCAAAACCATGTTGGCCAAGAATTAGTTGCAGGATAACACTAGTAAACGCAGCTTCCATGAAGTTTTCAAACACTGCTATTTACTGCTTATGGATATACACAGGTAAAAATATATCACCACATGCTTAGAATGACACATAGGATTTTAAGAAAATGGAAGCCTTAGAAGAGGAGGGCAGAGATGTAGGAGGATGAAGGTGGGGTTGGAAGAGGCTTCCCCTGGACTGTATGTTTTATAATGTAAGCTGATTGGTGGGGTTTGTGACTATTCATTTGCTTTCCATACATTTTTTCTTATTCTCTAGATTTTTCTGCATGCCTGAAATATGTTCTTATAAAAAAGACTAGGATGAGATCTCTCTTTCTGCCCCTAGGGGTGGATTAGAAGGGCTATGAGTAGAAGCTGGGTGCCCAAGGTGCCAGAGAGCAGGGACCCTGGCAAGAGAGGGCAGTGCTGTTGCCAAGGGAAATGGATCTTGACTGTTCCCTCAGTTGATCATGGGGGGCTTCAGTGGATTCCCAGTGTTCTCTTTCTCCATCTTCACTCCCAGGTGACCCTCCTGGACTTTGGTGCAAGCCGGGAATTTGGGACCATGTTCACAGACCATTACATTGAGGTGAGTACCCGGCTGTCGGGCCTCTAACGGGGTGAGGCCCAGGCCAGATGCCTAGGCAAGGATGGGAAGGAGAAACGCAGCAGCTGGATTAAGAAATAATTAATAGTAGTAATATTAAGAGGAGGAGTGGTGACACAGTGGTTAAGTTTTCAGCTGTTAACAGAAGGGTCAGTAGTTCAAACCTACTAGCAGCTCTTTGGGAGCAGAGACCTGTAATCTGCTGCTGGAAAGATTTCCGTATAGGAAACCCTGTGGGTTAGTTCTACTCTGTCCTGTAAGGGTTTCTGTGAGTTAGAATCAACTTGATCACATTGTGGTTGTTGTTTAGTGTCGAATTAGATTTGACTCATAGCTGACCCTCCAGCAGGTTTTCAGAAACAGTAAATCTCACAGGAAGAGATCGCTTATCCTTCTCCCATGGAGCAACTAAAGGATTCTGATCGTGTGCCTTTGGAATTGCAGCACAGTGTCTAGGCCACCAGACCTCACATACTTCAATAATAATTCTGCTAATGGCAGCTAAGGTGGAGGGTTAGGGAGCTCTAGTGGCCTAGTGTCAAGAAGCTGTGCTGCAATCCTGAATCCACCAGCTGCTCCACGAGAGGATGGGCAGTCTCCTCCGTGCAATTAACAGCCTCTGAAAGCCTGCTGGAGGCTCAGCTATGTTTCAGTTTCGACCTGATGGCACACAGCAAACAACAGCAGCAAGGTGGAGGGTTAGAGGAGGAGGGAAGACCCTCACCACGATGGACTGACACAGTGACGTAACAAGGGTGTTAGCATATCAAAGGTGGTGAGTCTGGCAGGAGAGGGCAAGGTGCAGGGTTCTTGGTAAGGTCGCTGAGTCATAACTGACTCCACAGCACCTTACAGTAGCAACAGCAATGGTCAGACACTGTTAGAAGCACTTTCCTAAAGAAGCTGATTTACACCCCATAGTGAGCCCATGGGGTTCGTAACCCTGTTAGCGCCATTTTATAGATTTTATTAGAGCTTAGAGAGGGGAAGTGACTTGCCCAAGCTCACACAGTTGGTAAGTGGCAGAGCTGAGGTTCCAACTGAAGTAGTCTGGGGTCACAGCCCGTGTTTCCAATCCTTGGCTCCTCCCTTCCTAAGTGAAAAGCTCACATCTTGTCAGCGCCACCTCCCTCCCACCCTGAGAAGCCCCCTTGTGGGGTGTTCAACTCCTCAGGGAGTGCCCCCTCCCTGCCATTGCCCCCATTACTCCCACCCACCAAGATTTGTTTCTCTCAAAGAATATTTTCTCTTGTTGAGAGTGAACATTCATCTTGAGCCTTCTGAACGTTTAGTTATAGATTTAAACATCCTGTGACATCCCTTCCACACCCAGACCTACTCTGGACAATACTGGGAACATGACAGTGACCAGCCTAGGTCCCCACCTTCACAGAGCTTGAAGTCCAGTCAGAGCCAGAGTGGTCAGGGCTGGAATAGGGGGAGGACAGAGGACCATGAAAGGCCAGAAGAGGTGACAACCCAGCCAGGCATCAGGGAAGGCTTCCTGGGGAAACGTGGTCTGGCTTGAGGCCTGAAGGACGAGAAGTATCATTCAGGAACAGACTAGGAAGATATCCCAGGCAGAAGCATGTGCAGAGGTCAAGAGGTGAGAAAGGATATGCCCCTTAGGGCTCTGTGTCTTAGTTACCTTGTGTTATTGTAACACAATTACCACAGGTAGGTGGCTTTAATGAGCACATGCATATTTCCTTGCTTTCTGGAGGTTAAAAGTCCAAATCAAGTCAGTTCCTTCCTTGTCTGTAGCTCTGGTCACTCCTTGTCCTGTTGACAGTCCTCATACTGGTCTACCCACACATTTCTTTTTTCTTTTTTTATTAGTTTTCATACATGTGTGTCTTTGTGTCTGTTCTTTTCTTTCCTGTAGCTCAGAGTTGAGTTGAGGATCATCCCACACTGGATAATCTCATTAACATTGCAAAAATGAAACCCTCTAGCCCAACAGGGTCGTGTCCACAGGGACAGAAACTTGGATGTCAACCCATTTTGGGGACACAGTCCTGTGTGTAGTTTAGTGCATGTGAACGGGAAGTTCTGGTAGAGTTGATCTGGATTTGAGGGAGGATGTCCTCCAGTGCTACCAGGGCCATCTGTGCAGGGACCACTGCATCCAGTTGCCCTTGAGTTGATCCTAACTTGTGGTGACCCCATGTATAACAGAACGTGTTCTGAGACACTGTCCCCCAGGGCTTTGAGTGCCTCACGGTGGAGGAGCCATCTCCGGGTAGATCCAAACCGGCAACTTTTCAGGAAACAGTTGAGCACATTCACCATTTGTACTACCCGTGATTCCCTGGAAGACCCAAAAGAGGTGGTGATCAGAACAGGCCCAGTGATGCCGCTGGAACCAAGTCACCCTGGGCCTAGAGGACAGACTTTGCCATTGGTGCTTTATCTTAGTGTACTAGGGAGCTATGGAGGGTGTATGAACAGAGGAGGGTCCTAGGACACTCCCACCAGGAAAGCTATAGGGGAAGAAAGAGAAGGCAGCTGGGAGAGATGTTATATAGGATCTGATATCTGGAGGAGCAGAGACAGGCAGGATGAGGCCCAGCCCTGCAGGAGAATGATGCGGGTTCATGTCTGAGATGAGGACAGGAAGGTGGGGCTGGGACTCAGCCCTAGGCCCCTGGGCAGGCTGGGACTTCTGCAGCTCCTAGAATGGGACACAAAGCCAGGGCCTCTCTGGGTAGTCTGAACAACATCTTGGTTTCTCCACCCCTCCCAGGCTGCTCACAAAGCCCTCCTGCCACCTCCCAAGTCTTTTCAAATCCTATCACACTGGTCCCTGAGGACCATGGACCTGACAGATGGCCAGACAGGCTCCAGCAGGAGGGCTGAGGCCCCTAGCTCAAAGCTGGAGCTAGAATAGAAGCGCCAAATCTAAGCCCATGGCCCTCATCAAAAGAAAACGCAGCATTAAGGTCAAAGGTTAGGCCTGCCTGATCCTAGTTCCAGGCCTGGCCATCTCCCTCCTCTCAGGTCTGTTTACTTTCTTTCTCCTTCATAATGATGTTGTTATTTACCATTGAATCAGAACTGACTCAAAGCTTAGTAGTTTTTCAGAGGCAATAAATCTCACTGGAGGAGATTGCTCAACTTTCTCCCACAAGTGGCAGGTGGATACGAACCATGTGCCTTTGGGTTGACAGCACAGCTCCTTATCTGCTAGGCCACCAGAGTTCTCTCTGCTTCAGAATAAATAATAAAACCCCCCAAACCAAGTCTGTTGCCATTAAGTCAATGCTGCATATGCCTATCTCATGCATAGTGCTAAGCTCTCCAGATAGATCCTTCTTTTATCTTTGCAACAACCTCAAAAGGAGGGGATTTCCGCCACCCCTATTTTTACCGATGAGGCCGTAGGAGTCCAGAGTTAAAGCCGCTTGCTCCATGTCCTGAGCCAGCAATTAGCAGAGCCAGGTGTCTTAGTACTCTAGTGCTGCCGGAACAAATTTCACAGGTGGGTGGCTTTAACAAACACATTTATTTACTCCTAGTTTAGGAGGCTAGAAGTCCAAATTCAGGGTACCTTCTCCAGAGGAAAGTTTCTCTGTGTTGTCTCTGGAGGAAGGTTCTTGTTGCCTCCCTGTGCTTTTGCTCCTGGCTGATCTTCATGTGGGTTGGCATCTGTCTTCCCCCATCACTGCTGCTTTTGCTGGATTGTTTAATCTCTTTTATATCGAAAAAAAAAAAAAGAGTTTGACTCAGAACACACCCTACATTAATCCTGCCTCCTTAACATAACAAAGGCAATTTATCCTCAAATGAGATTATAACCTTAGGCATAGGGATTAAGGTTGACAATACATAATTTGGGGCACACAATCAATCCATAACCTCAGGGATAAACCTCAGCTTCCCTAAGCTGAACTCCCAGATCCGTAAGCAAGCATAGCATGTTGGAGAGCAGGGGCTCTGTCCGCACCCAGATGTGCCCCAGGTTCCCCAAGGGCCCCTGAGTGTCAGGCCCTGTGCTTGTGGGACTCAGAGTCCGGCATGGCAGACAGACATCCATCTGATGACTTTTTTTTTATTATGATATAAAGTTTGAATACATTGTTTTTACAAAAGATCCTTCCCATTTCCTTCACCCCAACCCAATCTGATGACTTTTGAGGTGGCATGGTAGCAATCTTGGATGCAGTTCATAGTCACCTCCATTGAATGGACGCATGGAGCACTGACGATGCTTCACTCCATGCTGTTTCCCTGTGGTAGTGCCCAGGCCTGGCCACACTCCCCCAGGCCCTGGAGGGAGATACACCCTGACCTGACAAGGTGGGAGGGAGAGGCTTCTGAGTACCAGGCTCAGGGGAAGTAGAAGTGGATACCAGAGAGGACTTGACTTCCAGACCCCATCCCCAGACTCTACCTCAGCCCTCTGCCCCACACTTTTCTCCCAGGTGGTGAAGGCTGCAGCTGATGGCGACAGAGACCGAGTCCTGCAGAAATCTCGGGACCTCAAATTCCTCACAGGCTTTGAAACCAAGGTTGGGAGATACCCAGGGCAGGGGTTAGGGGGGTATTGGGGGGAGGGTCTGTGTGTGAAGATAAGGGGTTGGAGTTAGTTCTAGGGGTGGATAAAGTAGGAGTAGCTTGTCTGTACTTGGGGAAGTGAAGCCTGTATGTCTACACTGAGAGAACATTGAAGGCTGCTTACCTATATTAGGAGCTCTGGGGAGGGAAGGTAATGGGGATGCTGCTTGACTACCCAGGATTGCTGGGAAAATTGATACTACTGACCTATTCTAAAGGCAGCTGTTAGTCTCATTAGGAGGTTCTAGGAGCATGAGAGTGCCTTTCTATCCTAGAGGATAGAGGGTGCTTATGTATTCAGGGTACTGAGGGGAAGAAAGAAGCTAACTTAAAGGTCAGTAGTTCAAACCCATCAATCCTCTGACAGAGAGAGAGGTGGCAGTCTGCCTTGGGAACTCTCAGGGGCACTTCAGCCCTGTAGTTGAGGACTACAGTGAGTTGGAATCAATTCACTGGTAATAGATTGGAGTTTTTTAGGGAGCTGCTTAGACCAGGTGGTGCAGCAGTTAAACTCTTGGCTGCTAACCAGAAGACTGAACCTGTTCTGTGGAAGAAAGGACTGGCTGGCTCCTCCTTTGAACTCATAGCCTAGGGAGCCCTGAGGGGTATTTCTGCAGTCACCTAAGGCCTTTAAGAGTCAGAAATGCCTCCGGAAATACTATGAACTTTGATAAATGTCGATAGTTATAGAAAGGCTTCAGGCCTTTTGTTCATAGTGTCCTGCTCAACTCGAAGGCAATGAACAACCAACAACACAGAGACTGCTTTTTTGCTTGTTTATTAGAGTGTCTGGAAGAAGTGGGGGCTGCTTATTACTCTTGGGGACTACCCTTGCTCCCAAGGTAGGTGGTGGGCTTGGGATCCTCACTGGTGTGTTTATTGCTCTCCACCCCAGGCATTCTCAGACGCCCACGTGGAGGCAGTGATGATCCTGGGGGAGCCTTTTGCCACTCAGGGCTCCTACGACTTTGGGGCGGGGGACACAGCCAGGCGTGTGCAGAACCTCATCCCAGTGCTGCTGCGGCACCGGCTGTGCCCACCCCCGGAGGAGACCTATGCCCTGCACCGGAAGCTGGCAGGGGCCTTCCTGGCTTGCTCCCGCCTCCGCGCCCACATCCACTGCCGGGACCTCTTCCAGGATACCTACCACAGCTACTGGGCCTGTCGCCAGGGAGAGCCACAGAGTACTGACCAGAGGGGACCTCTGGGTACCAAAAAGTCCCTATGGGCCCCACAGCAGGCTTGCCCAGGGCACCCATAGCAGGCCATCTTCTGCGGGAACCCAGAGGGCAGGGTCCCTAGGACTGGGAACTCAGTTCTCTGCCCAAAGTGGGCATCCGGAGCCCTAAGCCAGGGAACCAGTGAACTTCTGCTTCCACTGGCGAGAGCTGGGGCCCCAGCCAGACATTTGGAAGATCTAGGCCCTCGCGTTTGCCCGCAGCTCCCCAGATCCAGCCCTGAAAGGGGTGGGCCGAGACTTGGAGAAACAACTCTCACCTTTGGCCCCCTCCCGCCTCCACCAGCTGCTGTCCCCCAGTTCTGGTCTCTATGAGTTAGGGAGCGGTTTGAACCTCCAGTCCTAATAAAAGCAGCCCTCCCCTTCTGCTCTTTTCTTTGCACTGGCTGGCTGGGGGCGGTGAGTTAGCGGGCGGCCTCCAGGTGCAGATGGCCAGCCCCTCTTGTCTGAAAGCCCCCGTACTGCCCGGGCCATCTGTTGACCGGAACCTCCTTTACCCCTCCCCCCCACGTGCTGACCACCTGCTCGGGGCCCAGAGCAGCTGAGGCGGCCCGCCCCTCCCAGCCGCACGCGCCTCCCGGACTCCCGGCAACCTCGTCTTCGCTAATGGGCCGTAATGCCTCAGCCAGCTGCTTGCCAAACCCAGAGGATTGCGGGGGGAGCGAGAGCGCTGCAGCGGCCAGAACCGCGCCCCGGTCCTGGCCCGGCACCCCCACTCCCAAAGCCCCGCCAACTGCCAGCAGGTTGCCCGAGATCTGCTAGTCCCCCCTCCTTTTCCCTGTAAAAAGTGCCTCGTCACCGCTTCTGCCCGCCCCCGTCGCGCTGGGAGAACATTGGGGTTAACGGGAAGACTGGGGAGATGGGAAGACAAGGCGCCTCCCGAAACTGTTCCGGGCGCGGAGCGAGAGGGTAATCTGAGGTCAGGGGTCACGGAGGGAAGAGGCCCTACGTCTGGGTGGACACGGGAGGACTCAGGTTCATTGCTTACTCGGCCAGTGGGCGTGGTGGGGCGGTGGCCGCACCGGGGAGGGCGGCGCTAGATTTGTGTAGAGGCGTGGCGTGCGAGGGAAGGGCGGAGCCTGAGCCGTCGAAGCACAGGGCTGGGGCGGGGTCTCCCAACATTTCCCGCAGGCGGCAGGCCAGTGGGCGGGGCCGGGGCGGGGAACCCAGGCAGGAGGGACTCTCCCCCGCCCACGGAACGGAATCCTCCCGGGAGCGGAGCAGGCTCGTGCGTGTGCATCCCGCACCAGCCCGCGGCCCCGGGCTCCGGCCCGCGTCAGACCGAGCCGCCGCCACAGTAGCAGCAGCAGCACTTGGGGATCCGGGCCCAGCCGGGGCCGCGGGAGGCGGGGGCGCCCGGGCCCTGGATGTCCCGCAGCGCGGCGGCCAGCGTGAGAAGGGCGGGAGAGGGGGACTGGGGTGGGCGGTGGCGCCGCGCCGCTGCTGATGTGGCGGAGAGTGGGAGGTGGCCGGATGGAGTGAGGGTGCCAAGGCTGCGGAGGGGTGTCCTGGGCAGGGGGTCCAGGTCAGGCCCAGAGAAGCCAAAGCTCAGGAGACGGGAGTCTTGGGTACAGGGCAAAAGCCCGAAGGTAGGGGTCTGGAACACAGACCTCTCAAAAAAAAGCCAAGGCCAGGGGGACAAGGATTCTAGATACAATACCCTTTGCAAGGTTTCGGGGATAGAGTCCCAGACACAGCCCATCTACCAAACCAAAACCTCGCAAAGGAGATTCCAGACTCCATCCCTACCCTTCCTCGCCTGAGAGGATTCTCTGAGCTGGGCAGCATCTTGAGAATGGGGTTCCCTGGCACAGCTTCCTCACCACACCAAGGCCTGGGGTGATTCCAGGCACACAGTGGTTCCTAGGCTTCAGGGACGTTCAGGGCACAACATCCCCCACCCCCAACGCTTGGGCGGTGGCCCGGGCTCAGCCCCCCTGTCAAAACAGGCTCCCTTCCTAGCCCAAGACCCCTCTCCAGGCCTAAACAAGAGGCATTTCAGGCATAGCTCCCCTAGGCTTGGTCAAGGGTCCCAGGGCACAGGTTCTTCTGGCCACCCCCTTTTGTCCCGGGGCAACCCAGCTGCCCCGAGAGCGGCCCCACCCGCAGACAATGAGTCCCCTCCCCCTCCTGGCTTTGCGAACCCCCCCTACAGGCTTCAGAATCTTGGCTAGGCTGGGGGCGGCTCCCCAGGGATCTAGTGCAACCCATCTGTCTGCTGTGCGTGCCTGCCGTGATGGTGGCTTTGTGTTTGGTACCTAGGGCTGGGGGGCCGGTGTGCAGTGGGGAAGTAGCTGGAAGTGTGACCCTATGTCTGTCTGACCGTGACTGTGTGTGTATGCATGTGTGCTTTGCAGCTGGCAATTGTGAGGAATCGTGTGCACGCGCGTGTGCATGTGAATGTTTGTGATCTGTCCGTGTGTGAGCCCAGTATTTGAGACTGTGTGTGAGAGAGTGAGGGAGCTGCTCTCTGAGTAGGACCCTGTGGTTTTTCAATCTGTGTTTGAGTGTGAGTGTATGTGCCTGTGGTTGTGTGGTGGTGGCTGTGATGTTGTCTTCTGCAGCCTTGGGTTTGTACGTTTTGGCAATGAACCTGGTGTGTGATGGTGTCTGTGAATCTGGGGTTTGGGCTTAAGGTCCAGTGAAGACGTGGAGAGTTTTGGCCGTGTGTGTAAATAGAGTTGTGTCTGTGACTACACTTGTGGGTCTTGGAGGTGCCTGTAGATGTTTTTCATGTGTGTCATATATGTGTCTGCCTGATACACAACTGTCTGTGTAACTCTAGGTGTGTGATATGTTCATAGACACATCCTGTGGGGGGTAGGGGGAGAGAGAGAAAGAGCCTGTGGTTGGACAGTCTTCATCTATGTGTGAAAGAGATGGTTGTTTATAGTTGTGCATGTGTGTTTTGGGTTATGTTTTTAATTTAGTGGGGGATTAAGACTACTGTGTTCCAATATGGTCTGCATGTGGAGGCACCAGGTAACTGGAAACTAGGACTGTGCATGTGACAGTGGCTTCTCTGTACCTATGTCTCTGACCCTATCTGTGTGAGTGTAGTTTTGTGGCTGTTTATAACCATGTTTGTTTGTGTGTATCAGACTACTTTTATCTGAATCTGTGTATCTTGGTGACAGGTCTCTGAGTGTTGCTCTGTCAGGGATCATGTCTCTTGTATAAGCCCAGCTGTCATGCCATACCTGAGCCTCTGTTCTCCTGTGTACACACCTGACTGTCCTTTCGATGTAAGAACCTGTGAGGGACAACATGCATGCCAAGTGTGGCTTTGTTACACAGGGCTGTGATTACATGCAGCCCCACAGTTCTCGATGCGACTTGTGTTTGTGTGAAGAAGAGCATGTGTTTCCATGTATGACTGACTGTCTGTGGTGGCAGTATGACTGTGAGGTGTATGGGTAGTGGGGACACTTGATGCTTTGTGAGTGAGCATACATGGCCATTTCTGAAAATGGTGCTGTGATGGTCCATGGCTGAGCCTGAGGTTACCACCTGAGTGTGACTGTGTGCTGATGGCTGTCCATCTGGCTGTCCTAGAAGACTATGCATGATTGACCAAATGCATGCATCTATGACCTGGTACAAGGGAGCTCTGATGGCTTAGTCTGTAGGGAGTTACACTGCTAACCCCAAGGTTAGTTTGAGTCTCCCAACTGCTCCACTGGAGAAAGATAGGCAGTCTCCTCCCATGCATTTTACAGCCTCAAAAAAATAAGCTGGAGCGTCTGCTATGAGTCACTTCTGACTCAACAGCAATGAGCTCTTTGGAGTTTGTGACCTAGCTTGTGTAACTGTGACAAAAAGCTATGTTGTGGCCCACGTAGCAGGGGTTGAGTGTCCACATTCATCTGTGTGCCCGCTGATGGTCATACAACTGTGACTGTGTGTTGGGTGGCTCTGTGTAACCAGTGAATTTGTATTGGAGCTTGTCCTTTACCAGGTATAAACATACACCTATGGAGACGTGTGACAAGTGTGTGTTGCTGTGGTTGTGTCTGAGTCACCTAGTAGGTGCTTTTGAGTGGCCACACAGATGAAGTGTGAGTGGGTGTGACTGTGTCACTGGATGCTTGAGGAAAGAACTTCGCTGGGGGTGGTCATCCACAGGCAACTCTAGAGAGTGGGCGCTGCTCTTTGTGCATGACCTTGAAATTGTGAGTGACTGTCTAGAACTTCATCGTGCAGTTGGTATGACCAACATTTGTGGCAGTGCCTGGGAAGGCCATGACTCTTCATAACTGTTTGGACAATGCCTGTAGCTGGAACATGAATATGTGACCAGACATCTGTGGTGGCAACTCTGTGGCTGGGACTCTTGATGTCTGTGTATATGTGTCAACTTGTATGTGCTGCTAGGATTATGTATGCCCTGGTGCTAGGGAGGACTGGAGATATATGCACGTGTGACTGTGTGTGTGTGTGTGAAGTCCTGGACATGTGTCCAGAGGGCAAGGTTGCTCCCTAACACCATTCCCTTTGAACACTGAAGGCCTCTTAAGACCAGGAAATGCTCTCCAAACACACCTACTCCTTCCTGGGCCCTTGGAACCAGGTGGCTGATCTCCCTGGTTACTATTGCCATGACATGGTTACTATTGCCATGACAGCCAGGGCCTTCATCAGGGAGTCTGAGATGGAGGGGACTGGCTGCTGTCCAAAGGTGGGATGGTGAAGAGCACTGAGCCCCACCCTGAGCAGTCTGCTCACCTTCTCCCTCCATTGGACAGGGTGGACCCAGGAGGCCAGAGCAGCATCCGCCCCCAGCCCCCTGTGGGGCCCCGGGGGCTGCAACCTCCAGGACGGAGCCAGGTGAGTGACGTGCTTAGGGGACATCAGGGGCTGGGCTGGTAGGTGAGTCAGCCTAGCATGGCCAGAGAGGCTCCTTATAGTCCCACAGGTATAAAAAAGATACCCCTACCCCCTCCCTGTACCATGGCCATTCACAGACACACACCCAACATTTTCTCTCTCTCTCTCACACACACACACTGGCAGAAATTCCTACTTCACCAGCATTCACATATCCACAGGGGCAGAGTCACACCATCAGCACAGATTCACCCACACCAGACACTCACATCCATAGTCAGATACACATGCACAGATGACAAACCCAGACCCATCATGTGTAAACTCTGTGACAGGCACACTGTAAGACATGAGGAGATTGTCAGCCCATCATGCAGACATACATGTCCTCATGGGTAGACTTGCATAGACAGTCTGAAACACCTACACTCAGAGGCCACCATAACTCACACTCTTCAGAGATACACTTATGCATAGAATCTCACAGAAAACATGCTCAGAACAATGACACTTTTGCAAACAGCCTCACAGCCAGCTCCCATGAACCCACACTCTCACAGTTACATTTCTGCATTTAGATACAGATAAAGAATCTTCAGCTCTCTCATTGACCACAGTCCCCTTCCCACACAGTCACACCATCATACAGCACTACACACATGTAAAGACAGTAAGCTCATGTTTTATATGCCTTCACAGAAGCCTCATACATAGACATATCTTCATAACAACTCCAAAAACCTGTGCTTTCGAAGCTAATGCCACATGATCTGCCACAGACACACCCTCATATACAATCTTCCAGAGACAGTCTCACCAACACAGGCTCCACTCTTAGACACTCTTAGGGACTGACATCCTCACAAACAACAGGCACCAAAGACCGTAGCTACAACCTCACATCACAACACTACATCACAGACAGGTCAGGACACACTTTCAAAGACAAATGTAGACGCAGCTTCACAGACATACCAATTCTTACAGACAACAGTGGTCATAGATACCCCTCATGGACAACCACCACTTTAACACAACTACTCTCAGATGTAGGCACACAACATTCACAGACACATATTGTGACACAATATTCTGACACAGGTTCTGTACAGCCATCAGAGGACACAGTCCCAAACACCATTCAAAAATATACTCACGGACAACAGCCACACACTTGCTTGTCCACTGAGAGTCCCCTCCTTCTGCCAGCATTCCCAGTCCTAAGTGTCCCCTCAGCATCAAGACCCCTCACTCCTCCTGGATATTTCAGTGTGGTTATTAGTCAAGGAAGACACATGGTGGGTGACCACCCCCCAACCTCCCTGTCACCAGAATGAGGCTGGTTCTCAGAAACAGGCCCCTGTCCCCATGGCCTCTGACTTCTTGGCCCTAGTCCTCAACCCCCTCACCTCCTGAGTCCCCTGACCAAGGGCTCTACACACTTTTATGCCTCTGACCATGTAACTCCCAATTCCAGAGCCCTCTCATTGCCCCACTTACTGACTTTTGATGACTACACCCTCTTGTCTTTTTAATCTCCCATTCTTTGGACCCTCATGCCTCTTAACTGTCACATCCCCTCCTCCAAACTCTGCTGACCTGTGAGCCATGACGCCATCACAGACCTCCATGCTCCTTACCCCTTTGTCCTGTGATACTTAGTGCCCAGGCACCCACTCTCCCCATCATCCATTGTCCCTACTCATCCTGGTTTTTGAACCCCATGGCCCCCAACCTGAGCTGCATTCTGGCACCCCTAAATGACATGCCCTCCCACCCAGCTGCACCCTAACTCTGTGTCTGAATCCTGTGTTCTCTGACCTCATGCTCCCTGCGCACTGCCCTTTGAACCCTACACCCCTGACCTGTCCTGTGCCACTAGACGGTGCGGGCACCATGAATAAGTTACGTCAGAGCCTGCGGAGGAGGAAACCAGCCTACGTGCCTGAGGCCTCACGCCCACACCAGTGGCAAGCGGACGAGGACGCTGTGCGGAAGGGAACGTGCAGCTTCCCTGTGAGGGTGAGTGGGCGTGGTTTAGGTGGGGCGTGGTCTGTGGGGCGGGGCTTTGTGCACATGCTCCAATACACTGGTACTACATTTTTTTTTAATTTTTCTACTAGTTTATTTATAAAATTTGAATTCTTTCAATTTCCCTCACCCCTACCCATCAAATTATACAATCCCCCTTCCCCCTGCACATCCACATCCCTCTACTTCCAGCCTCTCCCACCCTTCCTGGATCCTTATACTCATTCTACAATAATGGTTTTATACAACTTTTATCCGTATGGGACTGAGTTAGTTCACTCAGCATAATGCTCTCCATTCCCTCCCAAATTAGGTAATAACTTACAAAGTTATTGCTCCTGCATGCTGCATAGTATTCCATTGTGTGAATGTACCATAATTTATCAATCCATTCGTTTGTGCTTGGACATTTGGGCTGTTTTCATGTTCTTGCAATGGTGAATAATGCTGCTATGAACATTGAGGTACAAATCACAGTTTGTGTCTCAGTTCTCATATTCTCAGAGTCCATTCCAAATAGTGGAATAGCTGGGTCATATGGAATTTCTATGTTCAGCTTTTTGAGGAAACACCAAACTGCCTTCCAGAATGGTTGCACCATTTGACAGTCACACCAACAATGTATAAGAGTTCCTTTCTCGCCACATCCTCTTCGACATCTATTACTTGCTGCCCTGTTAAACTTTGCCACTGTTACTGGAGTGAGATGGTACCTCTTGGTGGTTTTGATTTGCATCTCTCTTATTGCCAGTTATTTGGAGCATTTCTTCATGTGTCTGTTTGCCATTTGAATATCTTCCTCTGCGAAAATTCTTTCCATGTCTTTTGCCCATTTGTAATCAGGTTATCAGTCTTTTTCTTGTGGAGGCCCAGGAGTATTCTGTAAACTATTGTTATAAGACTCTTGTCTGAGATGGAATTACCAAATGCTTGTTCTCAATCTGTAGGTTTTCTTTTCACCCTGTTGGGAAAAGTTTTTGATGTGCATAGAGATTTAATTTTCAGAAGGTCCCATGCATCAATTTTATCCTCTTTAGATGGTGCATTTCTGATTGTATTTGGCAGTCTCTTTATACCTTGGACTAGCGCTTCTAAGCTTGATCCCAGTTTGTCTCTTAAAAAAGTTATGGTTTTGAGCTCCAGTGCACTGGTACTACTTTTTAGGTTGTTAAATTCTGGTGACTTAGTGTTACGTGATTGTGCTGCCAACCCAAAGGCAACTGGTTTGGATCCACCAATTGTTCATTGAGAGAAAGATGGGAATTCTTCTCCCATGTGATTCTCAGCCTTTGAAAACCTGCACCAGAGTGAGCTATAAGTCAATGCCAACTCCACAGTACATAACAACAACACAACAAGTTAAATTCACTAAAGTTCTGTCCTCTGGAGACCAGCTCTAACAGGCAGAAAACCATATCAGGGATCTTTTTGAAGGTGATGTAAAAGACACAAGACATGTTCTCTCACCAGGAAAATAATATCTGGGGAACATGGTTCAGCAGGAGCTGACTGTTTTCAAAGGGCATTTCTTGGCAGCATTCACTGCTGTGGAACACCTTCTGCTTTACAACCATCATAGCCCTTGACAACCTATGCTACTCTTTAATTCAGGAAGCCATAGGATTCAAGGCCTGGGCTGTGGAGCTCAGCTGACTTAGGTTCATATCCCCTCTCACGCTCTTCCTAAATGTGTAGCCACAGAGGACGGCCATAGCTCCTCTGTTTCATTGCCCTAGAAGTAGACCCTGAGTGTTAGGGGTTCATTTGGGAGGTGAAAGGCTCATGGGAGTGAGTAAGGGAAGAGACACCACTGAGGTGCATTATTAAACTGCAGGTGTGGATAATTGAAGCTAAAGCCCCTGGGGAATTCTGGGAAATAATTGAAAGTTGGTGTCTCAACCATCCCATGGGTAATGGAGCCAGGGCCTGTGAACACCCACCCCAGGAGTCATTGCATGGGGACTTGTCTGCTCCAAGGGTGAGCGAGAGTCTTACACAGCCTCAGGGAGGCCTCAGGCACTAAGACACTTATACACAGGATGACAGAGAAGTGCTGAAGCTGAGGAGTATGTTCAGGACACAGGTGCCCACTGTTATACATTGTCAGTTTTCTCATCTGTTGTTAGGTATGGAGGAATTGGCTGTGATTCGGTGACACTGAGGAAGACAGAACAAAACTGTGCCCCATCCTCACACTAAATCCATTTTTGCAGCCACTGTGTCAGTCTGAGTGACTAGTGGGTTTGAGCTGCTGACTTTTTAGTTAGCCTCCAAGTGTTTGAACACTGTACCACCAAGACTCCACTTATCTGTGCAGTGGGGTAAACCTTTTCTATAGAGATGAAATACAGAATAAGTTACTATGTATAAAATGCTGGGAATATTTGTTGGTGCACAAGTGCTGAGTAAACAGAGGAATTATCAGTAATTCTTGCTTATTTCTGGTCCTCTTGTCCCTCCCTCAGTACCTGGGCCATGTGGAGGTGGAGGAGTCCCGGGGCATGCATGTCTGTGAAGATGCTGTGAAGAAGCTGAAGGCGGTGAGTGTGAAGGGCTGGAGCAGGGAGGTGGCTGCGCAAAGGGGACCACCAAGGTGGTCCTGACCAGGCCTCTGTTCCTTCTACCCTAGATGGGCCGGAAATCCGTGAAGTCTGTCCTGTGGGTGTCAGCTGACGGGCTCCGAGTGGTAGATGACAAGACCAAGGTACAGTGTGGGTGGGCACCAGTCACCCCTCTTCTCTTTCTGCTGGAATTGGCTGGGGCTGTCTTTCCTCCCACCTGTGGGATGTCTTTCCCTTAGGGACCTTCTAGAATATATCATGTGCTCTTGTAACCTTTTTGGATCCCCTCACAGTCCTCAGCCAAAGATGATTCCTGGGGTTATTCATATTACGAGTATGACACCTACCAACAACAAAAATTAATTGAGAGCCCTGATGGCCTAGCCTGAAGGGATTTGTGTTGTTAACCCAAAAGACTTCGCCTCTCTGGCAGTTCAAATCCACCAGTGGCTTAGTGGGAGAAGGATGGGCAGTTGCCTCCCACATTATTTACATCCTCAGAAACCCACTGGAGGGTCAGCTATGAGTCTCTACTGAAAATTAGTGAGTGATAAACTCAGTTGCAGTGAGGGAATAATTAAATTAGAAAATGTATGTAAAGTATTTAAAACTGTACCAGACGCAATTGCTTAGTTCAGTGTCAGTCTGCACAGCCATGGAGCCAGCATATGGTGTCTGTGCCGTGATTATCGAAGTCTTTGCCAGGCCAGAGAAGACACCCAGATACATGGAATGGACAGAGTACTGCATTTGCATTGGACAATCCTTCTGTCTGAAACACTGTTCCTTCCAGTTTTACTTAGTTAATTCCTTTTCCAGGATGCACTGGCTGACTTACCCCTCCTGGGTCCCATAGACTACTCTCTTGTTCCTCACTTCCAGCTCTGACCCACCCCCTCTTTCCTGCACAAACCCTGCCACCCACCACCACTGCCTCCATCCCATCTCCATAGTAGCCATCACCTCACCCATCATCTCTGTAGCAGCCCACTGGGACTCTGGGCTGTCCCTGTCTGATGATGAGTCTGATTTCCTCTTTGGACTAGGAGCCCATGCAGGGGGATGTCCACACCATTTTACTGAGTCCTGGGGTCCCCACCCTATTCAGGGAGGACTACTGAACAGGCTTGAAGGTGATATTATTTTCCTCCCCTTACTCCCAGGATCTGCTGGTAGACCAGACCATTGAAAAGGTCTCCTTCTGTGCTCCCGATCGCAACCTGGACAAGGCTTTCTCCTATATCTGCCGAGACGGGACCACCCGACGCTGGATTTGCCACTGTTTCCTGGCACTCAAGGACTCAGTGAGTACAGCCAGGGCTGCCCCCTTCTCTCTCTCAGGCCCTGGCACCCCAGCTGGCTGTATGTCCTCATCTGGAAAGCAGGGTATTTGTTCCTGGACTCCCTGGATGATGCATTGTTTGTGTTTGAAAGATGGGAGTTCAAGCCCACCTAGTAACCCTTGTAAGAAAAGCCTAGTGATCTTCTTCAATCTTGGCCATCACAAACTCTTTGGCACAACAACACAGTGTTGCTTTGATACACATCAGGTGATTCTGAATCAGTTTGCCAACATCTTTGTTCCTGATTTAGAGGATGATTGTTGAGCCTTGAGTAGGCTAATAAAAATCTTTTCATCTCTGTAGATGTTCATTGAAATGAAAAATAAACGACCTAAATTAAAAAAAAAATCTTTTCAATGTGTAACACATCAGCACCCATGAAGATGTTAGTTATCATCCTCATTACATTTCTGGGTCATTTTAGATGTCTCTCTGACTTTGCTTATAAGTGAATATAAACACCCAGCAAAGTACAAAGATCTTCACTGCAGAGCTTGAGAATAGATTCCACCCAGATACAACCCCTAGCAGATGCCCTGGGGCCCTTCTCAGAAAACACTCCCCCAATGTCTGTCTCAGTCCATTGGCCTGTGGTTCTAGGGGATCAAGATATCCTCTGAGAAACTGATCAAAGTGTATCAGTTCTGCAGAAAACCCCTAACTATGGTTTCAATAAGATAGAAATTTGTTTCTTTCATGGCAAAGAAATCCAAAAGTAGGCAGTGAAGCACTGATGTGGCATCTTTATGATTACCTGGTCCCCGAGCTTCTTTAATTTTTTTTGCCACTGTTGTCCTCAACTGGCGGCTTGTACTCCATGATGCAGAATGGATACAGTTACTCCCGCTTTCACGTCTTTGTTCCCACCAGCAGGAAGTGGAGAGGCATGAGTGGAAGTGTGCTCCTTCTTTTTGTGTTGTGCACTGCACTTCTTTCTGCATCCCATTGACCAGAACCTGGTCACATGGACAAACCGAGCTACGTAAAACTCGCCCTCTGCACTGGAGTCATGGCTCACGAGCTCCTCTGTAGAATTTCTGAGACAGTAAATTCTAAACAAGAGGAAATTGCTTTATCTTTGTCCTGCAGGACAGCTGGTGGATTCAAGCTGCTTGGCCACTGTCTTAACTCACTGGACATCAGGACTCGTTACCTACTACAGATGGTAGAAAATAAGAGTCTTTTTTTTTAATTTTTTTTTTATTTTTATTTTTGTGCGTGTACCGTCAAATCATATCTGACTGGTACAGGAGGATATTGCGCCTCCTTCTCCGGCAGAACATCTGGTGGATTCGAACCGTGTTCCTCTGGGAGTGCAGTGCAGCTTCTTGCCACTAGGCCACCAGAGCTCCCCTGAAAATAGAGTCTTGATTCTCCTCTACACTTTAGACCTTGACCTCAGATGCCACCAATCAGCGCTGCTCTGTGCTTGAGTCCATTGTATTAATCCATATCATTGAGGAGCTGTTTCCCCCACAGTCTCTCCCATTATCTACTTTCCCTGGTTCATGGAAACCAGTGATCTGCTTCCTGTTTCTGTAAACTTACTTAATCTTGACATTTTCTGTGTGTGGAATCATAGATCTGGCTTATTTCATTTAGTATAATGTTCTCAAGGTTCATCCACATTGTATCAGTACATCATCCCCTTTTATGGCTGAACAGTGCTTACAATTGTATGCATAGACAACTTTGTTTATCCATTCAGCATTTAATGGATTTAATTTCATTTAATTGGGTTGTGGCTGCCTTTTGACGGTTGTAAAAAGTGGTGCATA